CTCTCCCTTCTCTCTAACCATCTCCCCTTACTTCCACCCCCCAACACCCCCCCTAGTGCACCCAAGTTTGCCTTGCAATCTTGACTACTTCCTATATCCAGGAGGATAACTATATGATTTTCTTCAGGTTCACCTTCTTATTTAGCTTCTCTAGGATCACGAATTATAAGCTCGAAGACCTTTAACTATGGCTAGAATCCACTTATGAGTGAGTACATACCATATTCCTCTTTTTGGGTCTGGGTTACCTCACTCAGTAAAGCGTTTTCTATTTCCATCCATTTGCATGCAAAATTCAAAATGTCATTGTTTTTTACTGCTGAGTAAAACTCTAATGTGTATATGTTCCACACCTTCTTTAATCATTCTTCTATTGAGGGGCACCTAGGTTGTTTCCATGTTCTGGCTATTACAAATAGCGCAGCTATGAACATAGTTGAACAAATGCTTTTGTAGTATGATAGGGCATCTCTTGGGTATATTCCCAAGAGTGGAATTGCTGGGTCCTGAGGGAGGTTGACTCCCAGTTTCCTGAGAAACCGCCACACTGATTTCCACAGTGGCTGCACAAGTTTGCATTCCCACCAACAATGGATGAGTGTTCCCCTCACTCCACATCCTCTCCAGCATAGGCTATCATTGGTGTTTTTAAGTTTAGCTATTCTGACAGGTGTAAGATGGTATCTCAAAGTTGTTTTGATTTGCATTTCCCTGATCGCTAAGGAGGTTGAGCATGACCTTAAGTGTCTTTTGGCCATTCGAAGTTCATCTGTTGTGAATTCTCTGTTCAGTTCAGTACCCCATTTTTTTAATTGGGTTAATTAGAGTTTTAGTGTCTAGTTTTTTGAGTTCTTTGTATATTTTGGAGATCAGACCTTTGTCTGTTGAGGGGTTGGTGAAGATCTTCTCCCAGATCTTCTTTTGTCTTACTGACAGTGTCCTTTGCTTTACAGAAGCTTCTCAGTTTCAGGAGGTCCCATTTATTCACTGATTCTCTTATTGTCTGTGCTACTTGACCCAAGACCTTCTGCCTTGAACTTCTATTTTCTCCTCTACCCCCTGCCCAGCCGGGAGTGGGTTCCTAATGTCACAGTTCCTCTGCATCACAGAACAAAATCCATCCTCTTCAGCCTTAACAGACGACAAGTTTGTGCTCCGTGAGGCACATGCCAATATGCCACGACCAGAGTGTGATCAGAGTATGATCGGAGGAGGGAGAAAGGAGAGTCAACAGCGGTAGGTGATACTGAGCGGGTGCAGTTTACATGGAATGATCTGGTAGCTTGAGCCTGTAGGGCCATCAAGAGGCTATATGACCTCTGACTCTCAGACCAATTCAAACCTCGGAGACTGCAGGAGAGCCTGAAAGGGGAAGTAGGTGTGGCCGTGGGTCTGGTGCGACAGCCAGTGCCCGTTGAGAGTTAGTAGGGGCTTCTGCCTGTGTGTCTGGGACTTAGCCAGTAGCCAAGAGTCCCTGAAACATGACCGAATGGTTCTAGGAAGCCCGTAGGTGAGCTCTCACCTACAAGCCAGCCCTACATCCTCTCCTGGAGGTGGGCATCTTAATAACTATAATGTCACCTGGGTGACATCTCCCTAAACTAGGAAATAAGTGTGCCTGTCCCCTGACACTTCTCCTAATACAACTGCAAGTGGTGCGGTTGGTCATGAAAAGAGAAAGTGGGCCTGACGTCAAGCAGGGTGGGGCTGTGCCCAGGGGCCCTCCACTCACACACACACACACCAAAGTCTTCCTCTGGCCCAGCCCCACCTGCCCACCCTGCTTCTCTCCACTTGGTCAGCGGAGGTGAACCGACACAGTGGGCCTTCTGCCCACCCGCCCCAGCTGGGCCCCCGCGGGTGCACTGAAGTGATGCCGAGGCTCTGAATTCTTCCTCAGCTGACCGCCATGGGGCAACGGGCTTTGTGGTCAACGCGAGTGAAGTGTGGAAAACGCTAGGAGTTTCCGTTTGAGGCAGCCTACCATAAGCATCCCTTCTCTGCTGCCTCACCCATAATGGAGACCTCCTCTCGCTATCCCGGCAACACTCTCTACCTGTGACCGAGGGTCTGGAAGGGAGATCTTGGGCTTGAACAAGTGCTTTCAGTCGGGCCTTCAGAGCAGTAGGGCTCCTCGAGACCAAGGATACAACTGTGGTACCAAGGGCCCTGAGCTGTGAATACACTCCCTTCCTTAGGGAGCAAAGGATGCTGTGGCCTTCCCTACCGGAATCCCTTTCTGGGGCCTGCCTTAAACTGCTCTGGAACTGACTGGAGAGTTTCAGAGGCAAAATCCAAATGTTGTGGCCAGAGGGAACCTGGTGTGTAACATAAGAGTTTAGCACATAGCTGGGCGGGGAGAGGGTGTGCACACCTTTAATCCCAGCACTCAGGAGGCAGAAACAGGCAGATCTCCATGAGTTCAAGGCCAGCCTGGTCTCCAGAGCAAGTTCTAGGATAGGTCCCAAAAAACAAAGGGTTAGTGAGTTGTGTGTTAGGAAAAGCATCTTGCTGTTGTAGAGACAAAGGAGCAGCAATAGGGTGGAGACCAGTGAGACCCAGGTCCCAGCCCTGTGTGCAGGATGGAATTGCCTGTGGAGATTCAGGAAGGCTGTCTGGAGCCCACTCTCAGAAGTCCTGTTTCCTTTAGCTTGAGACGTGGCTTGAAGAGGAGGAATTTCTTAAAGCTCCACACCCACAAACCTTTGAGTTAGAAGGACATTGCTAATTGGGGAGAGGAGGAAGAAGAAAGAGGAGGAAGGGGAGGATGAGAAGGAGAATGGGGAGGATGAGAAGGAGAATGGGGAGGATGAGAAGGAGAGGGAAAGAGGACAAGGGGAATATGACTGTACCCTGTGTGGTAGCTTGAGCTAGAGCAATGTGCTAGAGGAGAAAAAAAATGGATCTCTGAGGAGGTGGAATGGGTGAGAGGAACCAAGAGGAGCTCTGACACACACACACACACACACACACACACACACACACACAGAGAGAGAGAGAGAGAGAGAGAGAGAGAGAGAGAGAGAGAGAGAGATACACACAGAGATACACAGAGAGAGAGAGGGAGAGAGAGAGGGAGAGAAAGAAAGAGAGAGAGAGAGAGAGGTACACACACAGTTATACACACACACACACGAGAGAGAGGTACACACGCAGACACATACACACACAGAACACGGAGAAAGAGAGAGAAAGAGGTACACACAGATACACACACACACAGAGAGAGAGAGAGAGAGAGAGAGAGAGAGAGAGAGAGAGAGAGGGAGAGAGGGAGAGAAAGAAAGAGAGAGAGAGAGAGGTACACACATAGTTATACACACACACACGAGAGAGAGGTACACACACAGACACATACACACACAGAACACGGAGAAAGAGAGAGAAAGAGGTACACACAGATACACACACACACACACACACACACACACACACACACACAATTGGTTTGGGTATAGACAAAACCCTGGAGTAATACCATTTGTGGGGTCGATGGTATGAATTCAAGTTTGACCATGTTGGGCATCTGGTGCCTGTGAGCCATGAGAATGAGCAGCCGGCAGCTGGATACACAGACCTAAAAGCTCAGGGAGTCTGGATTTAGGGCTTCCCGGACCCTCAAGTATGTAGGGCTCCCAGAAATGGTCAGTCTCCCTCCAAAACCATTCCCTCTACTTATCGCCAGTTATTATGCTCTTCAATAACTGTGTTCCAAAAGAAGCCCGATAGGTCCTGACGGTGGGCTCTTGGGCTGAGTACAATTTCCTGGTTTTGGAAATTAGAAACAGGAACAGAATTAAAAGCAAGATTTAACCAGATACGTGTACACTAACATTCATGCCTATCAATAGCCTTGAATGAGTAAATAACATGTGGACCATCCACATAATGTGACATTATTCAGCAATTAAAAAAATGAATGAATTATGTTATGAGCTGAAATATAACACCAAAGAGCCAAAGCACATTATCCTGAGTGACAATCAACAGTTGATAAAAGGACAGAAACTCCCGTGGCTTTACTTGTAAAGGCCCCCAGAACAGGCAAGTTCATAGAGACAGACAGAAGCTGCAATTCTGTTTGGAATAATAAGAATGTCCTGGAAATAGATAGGTGTGATGGTTGCACAATATTATGAATGTACTTGAGGCCAACTGAATCATACACTCAAAATAGTTAAGCTGGTAGCTTTTATGTATATTTTCCACAATAAAAAAAAAGTATCTGCATAAGTACTTTATATGGGGTAAAGAGGCACACCAATCACCATTGATAATTACTGTATTGCTCGGGTAGATGAGTGTTCCAAAGTTCACAGGCAGATTGGCAGGCTGAAAGGTGCTGTGTAAACA